TAAAAGTCAATGATTTGCTTGTTTTTACCGTGCGAATATTGTAGTATTCTTTAAAATATGTACTTCTGTCCATTCTGGGCTCCGCAAGAAACAGACAGGTGTTGCTCCCAGGCATCACTGTGCAGAGATAAATAATGACCGTGTCAGGAGCTGTTCAGTTGAAAAGAAAAGGAAGAAAAAAGCCCCAAATGAAACCTTGGAGTAACAATTTTAAAGTTGTTTCTGATTTTTGGAGACATAAGAGCACTCTTGCTTTGTGGAATAGTAAAGATGTGCATCCCTGCATTCACTGAACACAGGGGAAATCTTCTCATAACGTTTAGCACCACTTAAGCTACGTTAGCTTGGATTTTACTTTGCAAGGACGTACTGCAAAAAATGTCTGTGTGCGGAATAGATTGTAATATCAATTTATTAGCTGTCTTCATGTCCTCATGATGTCAGGTCTTGAATATTTCCGTGTCTCCAAATGCAGCAGGTCTTCTGGAAATGCTATGTCCGTGTTTTTGTTTTAAAAAGACCATTTTTTTGTTTGTTTGTTTTAAACAAATTCCTTAAACAAACTTTTCATTAACAACTGTGTGGAGCCTGCTTATTGCCTTAGCTCTGAACGTGTTACATGGCTCATATTATCCAGTTGGTTGCTGGATTCAGAGGGACCTGGTCAGGCTGGAGATGTGGGCCCATGCCAACCTCGTGAATTTCAACAAGACCAGGTGCAAGGTCCTACAGCTGGGTTGGGGCCAGCACAGATACAGACTGGGAGGAGAATGGCTTGAGTGCAGCCTTGAGGAGAAGGATTTAGGAGTGCTGGTTGATGAAAGACTCAACATGAGCCAGCAGTGCGCTGTTGCAGCCCAGAAGGCCAACTGTATGCTGTGTTGCATCACAAGAAGTGTGACCAGCCAGTTGAGGGAGGTGATTCTCCCTTCTACTCTGCTTTAGTGAACCCCTAGCTGGAGTGCTGCATCCAATTCTGGTAGAGAGAATTCTGGTTCCTAGATATTGGGAAGAAATTCTTTACTGTGAGTGTGGTGAGACACTGGAACAGGTTGCCCAACAAGATTCCCCTTCCCTGGGAGCACACCAGGCCAGGCTGGATGGGGCTGTGAGCAACCTGGGCTATGGGAGGTGTCCCTGCCTACAGCAGGGGCTTGGAACTGCATGATCTTTAGGTCCCTTCCAACCCAAACCATTCTGTGATTCTATGGATATAATTATATTCCAGATAATAAGATTGTTCTGAGCATAATTATGCATGTTGTTCACATCATGAAATGTTTAGAAAAAAGGGTTCAGTTTTGTTGACATTTGGAAATTATTAAAATGATAAATTAGCCTGAAACTGAAAGCTGTGTTTAATCAGAACTAACTTCTGAACTGTTAGCTAGCCTGTTGTTTAACTGCAATCTGCATAATGAGTTTATGTTCTTGACTAATGCCTTCTAATTGAATTGGTAAGGAGCTGATTTGCACAAACACACCGTGCATTTTCGCACTCTGTAGTGATATTAATTTCATGGTTAATGAAGTTTGCAGACTCGAGCAAGTATCTGACAAGATCTTATCTGTGTGGATGGTGCTGATGAAATGATGAACCACGTCTGCAGGCAGGAAATGTTCACCTTCTCACAGCACAGTCCCACTCAAAGGCTGTGTGACCACAGCCAAAAGTGCACCCTACACTGAGCTGAGCATAGCCCCAGAGCTTACACTGCTCTGCCTTTGTGGGGGGCAGTGGGATGGTGCTTCAGTCAGGAGTAACTTGCTTGTACCCACTGCTGCTCAGCTTGCCGACGTGTTCCTACCACCAATTCTGAGTTCTGTGTTGCACAGCCTCACAGTTTGCTTATGTTGTTATTTTTTGGGAGCTGGTGCCTCAGAGTTGTGCTTCTGCTTTGTCTTGGTTACAGCTGGGATGCACTTGGTTTCTTGAGGGTGCCAGGTTTGACGCTATGGTTTGGTTCTAGGAGAACCATGAGCCAGCAGTGTGCCTGGGTGGCCAAGAAGGCCAACGGCATCCTGGCTTGTATCAGAAGTAGTGTGACCAGCAGGAGCAGGGAAGTAATTGTCCCCCTGCACTCAGCTCTGGTGAGGCCGCACCTCGAGTATTGTGTCCAGTTCTGGGCCCCTCACTGCAAGAAGGGCATTGAGGCCCTGGAGCGTGTTCAAAGAAGGGCAACAAAGCTGGTGAGGGGTCTGGAGCACAGGCCTTATGAGGAGCGGCTGAGGGAGCCGGGAATGTTCAGCCTGGAGAAGAGGAGGCTCAGGGGAGACCTCATTGCTCTCTATAACTTCCTGAAGGGAGGTTGTAGCGAGCTGGGGGTCGGCCTCTTCTCCCGTATAACTGGTGACAGGACTAGAGGGAATGGTTTCAAGCTGTGCCAGGGAAGATTCAGGCTGGATATTAGGAAATACTACTTCTCTGAAAGGGTGGTCAGGCACTGGAATGGGCTGCCCAGGGAGGTGGTGGAATCCCCTTCCCTGGAGGCGTTCAAGGAACGTTTGGATGTTGTGTGGATATGGATATGTGTTGGATATGGTTTAGCGAGAACCATTGGTGATAGGTGGATGGTTGGACTGGATGATCTTATAGGTCTTTTCCAACCTTAGTGATTCTGTGATTCTGTGAAAAACAGTGTTGATAACGCTGATGTTTGTTGTTGCTGCTTTATAGTTTATAGAGCCAAGGGTGTCTGCACAAAGGGCCCAAGTAGCAGGGAGGGAAGAGAATTAGGACTGAAACTGGCCATAGGGATATTCCATCCTGTGTGACATCACATGGAAGGAGTTTTGTAGGGGGTGGGAGTTCATCTTGCTCTCTTCCACTGCTCAGGGGCTAGCAGGGCATTGGCTGGAGGATAGTGAGCAATTGCTTGTGTGTCACTTGTTGTATGCATTCATATGTATGTATTTATTTTTCATAATTATTATCATTTCCCTTTCTCTACCACAACACACTTACACTGGCTGAAGGAAGATGGTGTAAGTAGTGAGGACCTGGGGCTGGGAGGTGAACCAGGGAGGGGAGTTCCTAAGTTTTTAAGGGTTTCGAAGGTAATCTGCTTTAGAGAACTGATAACTGGTAAAATGCCCAAAGTCTGGCCAAGCACTGCTTTATAGGGTTGGTCCCATCAGTCTTTGGCAGCTCCAAAGCCAGCAGGCCAGCTCATCACCTCATCACCTGCACAGCCTTTGTTTGCTTTTTGTTCTTGTTTCTGTCATTTTCTCCCACTGGCAGAAGTACAGATTTTCCCATGGGCCAAAAACGACTTTAAAACAGCTACTCACAACTTACAGCATATGTATTCCGTCTCAAGTCATTTCAGATGTTATTCTCAGAAACTTTTATTTCTTTTAGAATTATTGCTCTTAGTTTCTCACTGATGCTGGAAAACATCAGCTATTAAAAATATCATAAAATCTCATTTCTTGTCTTGAGGGTGATGGTGTGACAGGCAGGATATTTTAGTTTATCTGCATAGGATTTGAATGCTTTCTTTGGGAGGTAATTGTAATGATAGAAAATGAAGTAGTCTAGACAGCCTTAAAATTGAACTTAAGAATTACCTCGTTCATCTGATGCTAAGAGCTCGAGCTTTCTTACAGCACGATGTTTTATGGTGCGGGCGTAAGGTTTGAGTGCTGGGAGGCTTTTATGAAAGCTGCACAAGTGCCAGGAGGTACAAAGCTGTATCATTAAGAGCAGTGCTCCTGCACATGGAAATTATTGCCGTTTTCATCTGCTCTGAATAAAGACCTTGTTGGTAGAGACGCTGTATTGAAGTGGCAACTACTGCATGGCAGCTGGCCATCGGCTTTCCACTCGTTGTTTGTTTTTGTGAAAAGAGCATGTGAAAGTTGGCTGTGTATCTTTTTGCATTATTTTTTTGTTGTTGTTGTTGATGTTATGTGAAATGAGTCTCGTTGTTGCAACGCGGTGCTTCTGTTGTTCCTTCAGCATAAGAATAAATCTGGTTAGCAAGAGCTCCATAGGATTTCGGTGGCTGTTAAACAGACGGGGTGAATCCACCCTTGGCCTCCCTTTGCTGTGTTCTACTAAGAGGAATGTGCTTTTTGCATTTGTCTGAAGGTGAATCTGGGAGTTGGCTTCTGCTTTTAAGATTATTCCAGCTGCAGGACTGGCTGATGAGCTCTCTGATGGGTTCATTTGTTGCCATGCTTTGGCAGTACTTCTGCTGACTTAAAACAACTGGAGTGAATGGCTTAAAGTTCAGTGATACCTGCTGTCCTAGTGATGTCAGGAAAGCTTTATCTGTTATTGAGCAGTAGGTGAAAATGGTGCTTTGTGTCATAAATTGGTGCTTAGTGCGCAGTAACATGGATCTGTGCTGCTTAACCTTTGCTTGCAATGTTTTATCATTGCTGTACCTTTGACATTTCTTCCAGGAGTCAAGGGGTTGAATCCTCTTGTTTGCACAGCACAGTTTGCACACAGGTTTTGACCTCTAGAATGCTGCCCAGCAAACAGGCCAGTAACTGAGAGTGGGGGCTTGTGTCTGAATCTGTGCTTACTGGGGTTGGATGTCTGACAGGTCAGCTTTGCCTTAAAAAAGAAAAAAAAGTAGGAGGAAGAGAAGGGAAAAGTAAAAGGGGAAAGGAAAAAAAAAGGTTACAGCATCTGTTGGCGTGGTGTCTGGGTTGGGAGCTGTGCTCTGACATTGGTTCCCCACACTGACAGCCCCATCAGCACAGCTGTGCCAGCAGGATGCATGGAGCAGGCTCACCTCTGATGCAGGCTGCCTGTCACCTGTGCTGGAGTGCTGCATCCAATTCTGCTGCTTCAGGAGCATTCCTTCAGCTTGAATAAGTGTTAGCAAGGGAAGAGCCACCACCTTCAGGTAATGCATTTGGCTGTGCGTCCTGGGGAGGTGTAGTAGTAGTCTCTCATTGCTCGTCCTCTGCCGACCGAGGGCGCCACTTGCCAGCGAAACCGACCCCAACCGGGCCGGGGCCAAATGCTCACACAGACCCCAGAGTGCGTGAGGCAAAATGGCGTTTATTAAAATGTGGTAGGCACTTAAATATTCTTGTCCCGCTTTGTCCACACCCCTTGCTTACCTGCTGTCCTATTGTGGGGCAGCGTTTGGCAAGCCCTGAGCATAGGAAACCTGACCCCGTCACATACCGTTTCCTCGCCACGCCTACTACATTTCCCCCTCCCTATGCTCAGGAATATCCCGTAGCAGCGCGATCGCAACGCGAGTACATCTCTCACAACTGTTCCTTCGTTTTGTGATACAGAATCCGTTGGTC